CAAGGTGTTGAATATAGTTCCCCATGCTATACAGTAGGACTTTGTTGTTTATCTATTTTATACACAGTACTTAGTATCTGCAAACCCTGAACTCCCAATTTATCCCTTCCCACCCCCTTAAACCCCTGGTAACCACAAGTTTGTTTTCTACATCTGTGAGTCTGTTTCTGTTTTGTAAATAAGTTTATTTGTCTAATTTTTTTAGATTCTGCATATAAGTGATCATATGGTATTTTTCCTTCTCTTTCTGACTTACTTCACTTAGTATGACAATCTCCAGGCCCATCCATGTTGCTGCAAATGGCATTATTTCATTCTTTTAATGGCTGAGTAGTATTCCATTGTATGTATGTACCATATCTTCTTTATCCAGTCATCTGTCAGTGGACATTTAGGTTGCTTCCATGTCTTGGCTACTGTAAATGGTGTTGCTATGAATGAACACTGCATTCCTCTTGCATTCTGAAGTCCGTGTAAGGAGAGACCTTTGGTCTTTTGACAGGGTGGTTTAAAACCACGACTCTCGCTGCTATGACTGTTGGTTTATGCCATGATACTTTCACACTTAAGCACTGCAGCTGTTTATTTTCTTTCCTTCCCTTTGATTACATTAAAGATGTTTCCTTCCATTTCATCTTCGGTTTTTGGATGGCGAGTTTATTTATGCTGCTCAAAAGCATGCTTTAGCCATACTCCCTCTAAATATAAGCATCAAGACTGATACACTGCCTTGGGTTTCCTTGTTTAAGACACTTCACATGCCTCCCCAACTACCTCTCTTTCTATTTTCAACAATTTGGTTTTGTTTGATTACTTTAGATTAAGATTCATTAGTTCCTATCTTGCATTTATTCTCAGATTAATTAAAATGATTTAGATTACCTTTTAAATTGGTGGTGGTGCTTGCCACATGTCCTTTTATACTATTGTGAATTTTTCTTTTCTGTCTCCTTTATCCGGAGCGGGAATTAAAGAACACGGAAGACCCTTTTTCTCAGGCTTTGCTCACAAAGAACAGCTTCCTGCCATCCGCCAACAGGAGAGAACTCGGTGGGCATGTCCTTATTGAATCACCCATTTTCTTCAAAATTCTGTGTGGCCAGTTTCATTTTCTTAAGCCATTTAATGCTGGAGAGGTCATTTTTTGACCCTTGCTTTATTTCTGTTCTTCTGTTGGTAATCTGCTATTTTCCTCTTGAAGTTTGCTGATTTTTCCCCCTATCATTCTTATAGATAATTTCGTCAGAATGTGACTTGCTGAGAAATTTCCCCTTTGATTTTGCCCAGAATGTAGACCACGTGCTCAGGTAAGGGAAGTTTTCTTCTAGCATATCTTTATCACCTCTGTTCTGTTTGTTTGGGCCTCTTTGGCAAAACCAGTGTCTACCTGTCCCCTTCACCTCTATTGTATCTCCCTGCCTCTCTCACCAAATGTGTCCCTTTGCCCTTTGGCCCCTGCCCTCCAGGGAAACTTTGTGCTTTGTCTTCAGCCAACACCACCAACTCGTACAGACACCGTTCTGTCTCTTGATGGGGACTTAATATCAATCCTTTTTCACACCCTCATCTCCCTTTTCCTCTTGCCCTGTGGCCTCCTCAGCTCATCTCTGCTCTTTGAACACCTTCAGCTCCCAAGTCGGAGGCTGTACTGAGGTTGGTACAGTTTGCTGTGGAGACAAAGGGAGGATCCTGCATTCTGGAATATTTTCAGAAGTACTTTCTTTCTCTGATTTTTCTAGATAGTGTTCCCTTTTTCTTATTCTGTGTTATCTTTTTGTTCCAGTTGTCTCTTGCTGTGCAACGAACTCACACCAAAACTTAGTGGTTTAAACCACCACCATTTCATCACTTTCATGATTTTGAGGGTCACAAGTTTGCGAGGGGTTTGGCTAGACGATCCTTTTATTCCACGTGTTATGGGTAAAGGTCACTTGTGACATTTAGTGGGTGGATGGTCTGGTCTGGTCTGGAGGGTCCACAATGGCTTCACTCAGGTGTCTGGAGCCTTGGCAGGGAAGGCTGGGAGGCTGGGCTTGGCTGGAACCGTCAGCTGGAGAACCCACATATGGCATCTCCAGCGTGGCGGCCGTCAGGGCTTCCTGTGTGGCAGCTCCAGGTTCCAGGGGCCATTCTTCCCACAAACAAAGAGAAGCTGCACAGCCATGTCACTTCCTTCATATTCCACCGGTCAGGGGGTCACAAGCCTGCCCAGATTCAAGGGGAGGGGACATCAACTCTGGTGGCAGGAGCCTCATGGAACTTGCAGTCTTGTTTTAAAGTGGCCACCATTCTTTGACTTCCTGCTGTTCCTGTCCCCTTTAATCGTCCTCGACACCGACAGCCTCTTCTTGCTAAGTGCTGCTGAAGGACGACGGGGCGGCCCCTTGGCGGGCTCGCTCTCTTCCCCACCCTCTGTGGCAGGCCCCCGCCTGGGGCTGCGCTGTCCTGGATGCCGCGCTCTTACATTCCCCGCCTAGGACATCATTCACCTCCTCGGAGACCACTTCTCGTGGTTGCCCCACATCAAGCTGACGGTAACTAGCATCCTGCTCCTCCCTCCCCTGGCTGCATGTTCTTGCCTCGTCTGCTGGCCCCCGGGGAGTGTCACCCTTTGAGAGTCCCAGCCAGTTTTCTCATACCAATGCCAGACTCATTTGACTTCGAGCTGACACACTTCTACTCTTCTTCTTTGGGGACGACCCAAGCCCAGGTGTGGGGTGGGCATCTCCCCATCTCTGCATGATGCTCCATAAGCCATGGATGGGGCTTGGGAACCCCAGGCATAAGCTCTTCATCGCTAGTCAAAAAATAACCAAATCTATAGGCAGGCGGGGGAAGGGAGTTAGAGGGCATGGACATGACCCAGATAGGTCTTCATCTTCTAAAACGAAAAGGTCATAGGTAATGTCAGAAGTTGACAGATCAAGGGGGAAGCTTCTATAAACACATTATTTGGAGTTTGGGGAGGTGGGGGAGAGTAATCAGTGAAGAACTAACAATAGAAATGCCTCAAAATGGTTGACCCTTAAGAGAGGGCTTGGGAGTGGAGACCAGCCCTCCTCACATGTGCTCCTGCAGCAGGACTGGAGGTTGTACCATGTGCAGGGATTTTCTGATTTTAAAAAAAATGATATGTATTTGGACATCAAAAATATTGCATGATATCTAATAATGATGCATGCCATTTACCGCCAGATCACAGCCTAAGGCGTGTGATTATATTGTGTAACAGGTAGTCTTCTGGCTTATTTGCATCATTTTAGTTTATTAGCTTTTTGTTTTGTTTTGTTTTTTGTCCCTCCCCCCAAAATTGGACAAAAATGTGAGAGTGGAGTAGTAGGAAGCAGGGCAAGAAATAAGAGCTGGAAGCTCTCAGTGAATTCAGCTGCCTTTTTCATATCAGTCTATGTACCGTTAATTTTTATGTCCTTTTGGAAAAATTAAATTGGAACTCCCTTTATCACTTCTTCACTCCGTGTTTCCCACTGTGAAAAGGGCAAGAGCTTAATGTGCCGCAGACTAAAGCCGCAGGGGCAGCTGGGCTCACATGGGCAGACGCCCGGGTCTCTGCACAGCTGGCGTGATGTCCACTCACACTTTCCAACGTCCACGGTCACAGGCAGCAGCTGGAGCTTGGAGGGGCAGGTGAGGGGACAAGCCGAAGGGGTGCTTGGTGTTTTCCGCTGGTTAATGTGTTAGAAACAGGAATTCTTAAGTGTCCAAGTGAAATCTCCTGCCAGTTTATTTTTATCCTTTATCCAAAAATTAAAAAAAAAAAAGGCCTTTCCCACACTTTGGAATTGGATTAGGAAGGAAAGAGCAAAGAGGAGATACCGCTCAGGGGCTGATCCCAGCTAGATTCGCCCGTGGTCCGTTCACCTGGAAATTCGTTCGAACGGGGGCGCCCCTGCCACGCCCCCCACCCTATCCCTGATGACAATCTGCGTCACAATCTGCCGGGCACAGGGCACGGGAGCGCACTTAAGGTTCAGGCGAGACTCTAGGTCGCAAAAGTCCGAGTCAGTGGTTCTCCGCCTTAGCTTAGCATTATCTGGGAGCTGGGGGGAATGCTGATGACCGGGCCCCACCTGCCCTGGAATAATTAAGACGGAGCCTCTGGGGGCGGGGCCCGGGCCCGGGTATATTTCAAAAGCGCCCCCGGTGCTTTCAGCGGGCAGCGCGGGCCCAGAGCGCGCGCTGCGTCAGTGACGCGCAGAGCGGCGGGGCTCTGCCCCCGTCGCTGCCCCCTCCCGGCTCGTCCCGGGAAGGAAGCCGGCAGCACGGCCCCCAGAACCGGCCACCACCGCGGGACAGAACCGGACAGGACACGGCAGTGCCTGGGGGTGGGGTGGGCGAGCGGGTTACTCCTCGCAAAGCCACCACGGAGCCTCGGCGGTTCCCGGGAGAAAACGCAGTGAAAAGACCCCACGGTCTGACCCCCTCCCCCCCCCCCGCCCCGGCACAGAGACGCCTGCGTCGGCGGCACTTCGCGAGAGGGGCTGCTGGGCGCGAGGCGGCCACACGGAAACGCGCCTCCGCCGGGCGGTGGCACCGCGTCCTTCCAGCGCGGTCTGAGGATTTAATCAGGACGGAAAGCCCGGCCCCTGGAAACCAACCAGCCACGTTTCCCAGCTTTGCAACCGAGAGACAAAATAAAGTCAGGGCTGACAGAAGGTGCGCATGTTTGAAATACTTCCGCGGGAGCCCATCACCGCCGCCAAATGCTAGCCTTTCGAGGCAGAAACTAATTTCCCACAGATGCTGCCGGGCTGTGTCTGGATTCCGCTCTGTGAGCAGTAGGCGCTAGACTGCTGGCCAACGGCTTAAAGAGTGACATTTCTCTCCACTCGCTGCGATTCTTCTCCTCAAGCAGGATGTTTTTCTTGGAGGGGGTTTCCGGGGGTGTGGAGGTGGGGTTGGACGCCGTTCTGGTCACGGGTGCGCGCCTGGCCGTGCCCGCCCTTTCCCCCCGACGAGGGCCCGCTGTCCCCGAGGCTCACCTGGTACTGCAGCCCGGTGCAGAGGACGAGGTGGTCGTAGAGAACGACTTCCTCTCCGGACACCATGACGCGCTTGGCTGCCCGGTCTATGGCGGTCATCCTGCCGACCACCACGCTGACCCAGGAGCACAGCGACAGCACCGCGTGATCTCGGTCATTAAAGCAGTGGCTGCAGAGACAGGTGGGGGCTCCGTCAGTGACATTTGAGCAGCTGACAGTGCGCATTAATCGGACATCTGGCGAGCTGGTTCCAGTCCCCTAGCGGGCCGAGTCTGTGCTCTTGCTGGGCATCTACCCGCACCTAGGCTGGCTGGGAGCCTTTTCGTTCCAAGACACTTAGTCACAGATTGACACCTTCCCATTAATGCTAAGTTGTTCTGCCTGGGGCAGGCTGGTCCACAACAGGGAGGGGTGTGTGTGAGTGATCATTCGTGGACACTCATGTTTCCACTTCATGGTGGGTGTAAATCTACTTCAGCTGTTAAACTGTCACATGGACAACTGTCATATTGTGATATTGACTCAAAGCGAATGAGGAAGGAGAAAGCGACATCTGAGGAGCCCCGGAGGCAGGGGTCAAGGTCCAGAGAACACTGAGAACTCTGCCTATTTGCTAACGCTTTTCAATAAATGACTCATTCTTAGAATGAGTGTATGGACCTGCACCCAAACAAGAAGACACATTTTATTTGGAGAAAATGTCAATTAAGGAATTACGCTGGCGTCAAGGCCAGTCACTGGAGACTTCTGGGATTCGCTCCTCAGGGCGAAGGTGATTTTTGGGGAACCACTTCACAAGCAGCAGGTCGGGGTGGACGGGCTTCCTCCTCTGGGCTCTAGCTGAATCTGAACACAATGTTGCATCAGGAGGAAAGTGGGTTTCCCGTGGCTTTGGGTTTATTTAGAGTTTCTTGAGGGTTGTTTCCTGAATTTTCTGGAAGGTCTGACCTCACATACCTGGCTTTTTACTGATCCTGTTCTGGAGACCAAGAGTATCTGTTTTCATAGGGGCGTCCCCGGGCCATGCACGGTCTGTGTCCCTGCTCTGTTGCCATGGAGACCGGACCCCAGGGACTCAGCATCAGTGCCTTTTCAATGCCATGGTCTCCTCACCTCTCAACGTGGGACAACTACCCCTCCAGACATGCCTTGAGCACCACGCGGGCCGGACACAGACTGCGATACTGTTTTGTCAGGTGGGACGCGTATGTGGTGGGTAGTAGTCCAAGTAACACTGATGACACATAATCCTGTTTACTCTCCTTGGAGGCAAACAGGATTCTGAAGCGGTGATGAGAGCGTTTTTCTTTTTGATCCATGCACGAGTCTACTCTCACCACAGAGAAAGAAGCCCGATAATGCACACACATTAGACCCCGTCACAGCGCCAGCGGAAGCGGACGGAGGCCGGGCTTTGTGTCTCTCCACGGAAAGGCGCTGAAAACCCAGAAAATTTCCTTTTAATAAGGAAAGAAAATCGGGGGCTGCCCCGTCACAGGAAAATAACAGACAGTGAGATGAAATCCTCTTTTTAAAGAGCCATTTGGGCGGCCTTAGAGGGAAAAAGGGACTTCATCGATTTCGTACGTTCGCGAGAGACCCACTGAAGGCTGTTCTAACTTGCGCCATGGGCCCTCCGCGGTGGGGACGGTACTGCCGGCCGGCCGCGACGGGGGAGAATTAAATACAGTTAATGCACGGGACTAGTCATATGAGGATTTGCTCAAAGATCAAAGTTCTCAGGGGAAACTGGGGAGGGCTGGGACAGGGTCAATTTTAACGGCAGCAGGACAGCAGTGCGTACCCCAGGGCAAAACTTGCAGCTCTGTCCAGTAAGAGCTGGCACCTGGGGTCACTGGGATTTTAGGGCCCTTAAGAAGCATCGGAAAATGGGGGAGGCTTGCTTTTCCAGCTTGTTACCGCACTGGGGACATTTCCCAGCTTCCAGTGTCACTGTGTCGGTGATTCCTATCTGTTTTAGATATTAGAATCCATTTGGACCTTTTTGAATTTACCGATCAGGTAGGTGAAACTAGACATTGGAGACTGTAAGTGCTATTTCTCCTAAATTATTTCCTAAGCAGAGTTAATGAGTGTTAAGATTCTAACGTGGCAGGGACCCTCTCAAGGCTTGGTGACAAGAGAAACGTCTCCAGTAGGGCTCTCTGGAAGGGAGAGAAGGAACCAAAGACGGGAGGTCCATGAAACTTCACTTTTCTCAAGTGCACTTGATCCTAACTCAAAAGTCATGTGAAAGCTTGTCTTCATAGGACGTTCTGCAGACAGGCAATAAGGAGGCAGAAGAAGAAGGGATGGGGAAATTCCTGGAAGAGGGTATTTGTGAAGAGGGAGCTGCTTGCTCAGAGTTGCAGGGACCCCAAACCCGGTGGTTGGAAGATTTAGCCCAAAGTTCCAGGTGCACAATTAGGAGCAAACGCCAGGGGAGCGATGGTGAGCGCGCTGAGGGCTGCACGTCGGGGTGTCAGAACCAGAAAGAACCAGAAAGAACCTCCCGGTTCTCACCAAGGCTGCACCGTGACACCACTCTGAGAAGACGGAGCGCCGTGGTTAACTCTCGGGTGTTCGGGCTGAGTGTCCAGTTAGTGGACGCCCCGCTTGATGTTCCTCCTCCCTCCCACCGCCTCCTTCCTGCGGCAGCCCGGGCACATCATTAGCACCTCCACCAGCGGCTGGACGGGGGGCGGGGGGAGGAGGCAAAAAACGGCTATTCAAAAACTAGTAACCACAATAATATATCAAAACGTTGGTTATGGAAAAGTTCCAAATTTGTATTCAGCACGAGGACTGCTAAATTTACGGATGTCAATGCACTTGTAAATTTTAAACTCCATGACCAGACAACATTTCCTGTATTGGGGTGGGAGGGCCACCTGAAAGGCAGCATCCGGTTTCTGGCTCGCTGGCAGGCTTCTAAGAGTTAAAACACACAGGCACCCATCCAGAGGCATCTGGCCATGTTGGCCCCGTCTGTCACCTGATGGAGGGGACTCCTGCAGGTCTTCCGGAGGGAACTGCCATCTATTTGACGTTGTTTCCTGGGCACCTGCTAAGTGCCAAGCACTGTCCTAGATGCCGGGGCTCATCAGTGCGCAAAAGGCAGAAAGCGCCTGCCCGCGTGGGGTCTGCCTACAGCAGAAGGACTCCACGTCAACAGCTTCAAAGGCAGATTATGTGACTACTCAGAAGGATTTCAGCAGCAGGGGAGGAGGACCGGAGTGTGCCGGAGAGTTGGTTGCAAATGATCAGGTGGTCTGAGTAGGTCACACGGAAAAGGTGACATTTCAGCAAAGAGAGAGAGAAGCAAAGACCCCACGGTGGGGACGTGGCTGCTGCGTTAACACCGGGGAGGCTGGTACGGCCACTGTCGGGGGAACAAAGGCCAAAACAGTGAAAGAGGAGCTCGGAGAGGCCAGCCCAACAAGGCCAGGCTGGGGCTGGGGCATCTGGAACTTCCTGTGATGACAGACTTGTTCGGCAGCAGTGCTGTCTGACGTGGCAGCTACCAGCCTCGTGTGGCTATCTGAGCACTTGAATTATGGCTAATGTAATCGAGGAGCCGAGTTTTGATCTCCTGTAACTTCAATTAATTTAAATCAAAGCAGCCACGTGCGGCTCACTGCCACCACGTTGGACAGTGTGGTTCTAGGCTGCTCAGGAAGTGACATGATCTGATTCTCATCTTTGCAGCCTTGCTCTGCAACCGGGCTGAGATGGTGGAGAGGCAAGGACAGAGGCAGGGACACCAGGTTACAGTCCACCCAGCCACACGCGGACCCTGCGTACAATCACACCAGCACAAGGCCACACACTAGCCGTCCTCACCACTACACACCTGACCTGGGACTGAAGGAAACCTGCCAAGCCGGCTGAATTCACTTCCTCCTGAGACGTGTGGGATTAACACCAGCGTTTCCAGGGAGTTGGTAACTTGGAAAGAGGGAAATGAGGGCAGGGGGAGACCCATGTTGATTCTCTACTCTTGGCCAGAAGCTGGCGTTAGACTAATTTTAATCAAAAAATCCAGCAAAGTTTGGCTTATCATATGGTCTAACAGTCAAAAAAGCCCACAGTTCAGAGAGCTGGACTCCCCCTCGTGGGCGGGGCAGGGGGATCTGAATCCACACTGACCTGGCTCAAAAGCCATGCCTTTTTCACTGCACCCGACCATGTCCTCCAAAATCCACCAAAGTTTATAGTCTGATAAAAGTATTAGGTCGAAATGAGCCCAGTGCTTCTGGCAAGGAAGCTGCAGATTTTCTCGCTGTTTGAGGGCAAAGTAAGCCTCTTCACAGCGTAAGGAGGACCCTTCGTCACGCATCTAAAACGAAAAGTCCCCGAGAGAGAACAATTTCCTCCCTCCTTGCCGGGAAAATTGGGACATTGTTTCTAGAGGCAGGGAGCCTGACCACTCCTGTGCCCGCGCTTTGCTCCAGGAAATTAAAGTGAACGTGGAAGCTGTGTGATAATGAAATGCCATCTTTTAGGAAGGACGCTGTCAAAGAGCGACTCTGGGATGGGGGCCACGAAGGACCAGCTCAGAAGGCCTCGACCTGATCAGCCCCAGATTAGGAAGGGCTGGGGGCGCCTGGTCTGATGCAAATAGTCCCCAGGCTCCCCTGCGCTGGACTGTCACTCAGAACCCGAATGCAGGGGGCGGCGTTGGGGAGCAGCGTCTAGGTCAGCAGAGCCGTCCCCGGTGTTTGGAACAGGGCAGGCGACCTCCCAGCCCTGCCAGTGTCCCCTAAGGAAGGCCTGAACCCAGGAGAAAAGCACCCCCCACCAGCCTAGACTTGACGGTGCACCGACCAGGATACGCAGCTTCAGCGTGAAAAACGCAAATGGAGTTCATACTCGCTTGCTAGAAACTTTCGTTGCTCGCTGCCCAGAAGTTTTTTCCCTGGGAGTCCGTGCGTTGAAATCAGGGTGAGGTTGCTAAACTTCAGGTGAGAGCTAAGGAGGAAAAAAGAAGAAAGGAAGGTGAGGTACGATTCCGGGGAAGTTTATTCAAATTCAGTTCTCCCTTACTGCACGTGCCGTCCAGTTGTGCACTGCTCCTTTGCACAGAGTAGCTCCTCCCGCACAAAGCTTCAAAGAGAACCGACCGTGTGAATGAAGGAAGGAAGGTGGCCCTGGGCGGCAGGTGGCGGAAACTTCCAGAAGCTGCGACTCTGTAAAGGCAGACGCTGTTTCATTTTTTCAAATTTGCTTCTCGGAGTAAAACAAAATAAAACCTCACATTGGAAGGAGGCTGGTAAATTTAGTATAGCCAATGCAAAGTCTGAGCTTCTGACTAGCTCTGAGGAGTTGCTTGGAATCCGAGCCGCCACGGTGAAAGCTTGCTGAGTGCCTGCGGCCAGGGGCTCTGCTGGCCCTCACTCCACCCTTGCAGCGGTGCGGTGAGGTCAGCAGTGTTGCTATCCCGTTTTATTATGTGGAGCGGAGGCAGAGTGTTTTGCCCAAGATGGTACAGCTGGGAAGTCTGGAGGCAGGGTGTGAACCCGGGCCGTCTGGCCAGCGTGTCTCATCTGACCCCGGCCCCCACGGCCCTGTAGATCCCGAATTGTTGACAGGGATCCAAAGATCATCTAATTCTCATGGGTCAACATCAGCTGCATTACTTATAGATCTACGTAGCCGCCCAAATCAGGACACCGCAGCATCACAGGGAGAGAATTCTAGAGGATTCCTTTTAAGAGCAAAGCTGCCTTGTCTCTTCATCAGGTTTTTCGTGGCCCGAGGCGTGCCCATGAGCATCACCACGGAGACTGACCTCCCTTGATTTCTGCCGGAGGCGGGAGGCAGGTTCATGTTACCCGTACTTCATACAGAAGAAAATCAAGGTTGGAAACGGTAGGCAGTCCGTTTGCGGTCATGAAGCTCAGGAGCAGCAGGGCCAGAAAGGAAAGCCCTCTTCCCTGACCGCAGGAGAGCCCTCCCCGCTCACCCAGGCTGCCCTGGAACCAGCCCCGCGGTGACAGGCGGTAAGCAGCTCGCCCAGCATATGTACAGGCTCCTGGAAACCCCCTCCCTCCGCGTTTCCCTTCGGTGCTTAAAACACTCCTGCGGCAGATCTGCCCTCCAGCTGGAGCCGGCCGCATTTCAGGGCTGAGCGCATCTTCCAGCCTTCAGGATGATGAGAACGCTTTTTCTTTCCCTAAAAATCTCTTCTTAGTTCACATGTCCCCTTAAAGCAACCAAATACCAAAAAAGAAACCTTCTCCAAGTTAGAGCGAAACACCTGCCCTCCTCTCCCAGGAGGGGACTGGAAATTTTCCAAACGTGGAAGTGCTATCAGTTTACGGACAATCTGTTAAGTACGAGCCACTAAAAGCAGGAGACTTTTGGTGACGGTGCCGTCGGCGCTGTAATAAACTCAACTGCACCTGACATTTAAAAATAGCTAAATATTATGCAAGGTTTTGCTGTAAAGTCCCTGAGGATGTGTGTCATTTACTAATGAATATTCTTATTTGATGCAAAGAATACCAAGCACATCTTACCTTCTAATCAGAACAGAAATTTTGAGTATGTCCAAGGAACATAAAGGTCACAATCAAACCCAGCGACAGGCCTTCGATGTATTGCTGCTTATCGGAAAACAGAAACAATAACACGTGTTCACATGCATTTTGGCTTTGGAGACCGTGTGACCAGAATGTGGTTTGTGTCGTGCTAACAGCGCAGCTATCTGCCGGCCCTTGCACATCTCTGTGTGAACCCAGCTCTATCTTCTACTGCAAAAGCCATCTCTTTGTCTCTGATAATTTAATCTAACAACGTGGGTCACTTGTCAAATGACTTGTAAATTGCCGAATTACCACACTGTCTTACCCTGAAGTACGCTGTTGCGCAATTAGAGATTTCGCCGAAAGATCAGGGGAGGGGCCTTTTCCGAATTTTTATCTACAGAGGAACCAGTTTTTCACCCTTCTTCTTTTTGGCCAAATCCTTTTTGCATCCTTCACTGTGGATGTTTCAAGGTCCCTACCTCACCCTTCCTCATTCTCCCATGTCATAAGGAAAACAGAAACCAGCCCCCTGGCAAGAAGACCCCCCCCACCTCCATTTCCCTTCTTGCCTCCCCTGGACGCATCTACAAGGGTGTCTTCCATTTCCCCCTGATTCAGAAGAGAAGGGTCTCCCATGAACCCTGTCTCCTCAACTTCCCCTCCTGTCTCTCCCTATCCCTATGCCAGTAAGCTTCTCTTCAGCTGTACTTAGGAAACCTGGAAGTAACCAGTCTAGTGCTGATAAGGTGGAGCCAGGGTGTCTGCAGGGCCACGACCCTGCATCTCTACTTCTCAGTGTGTGCCTTCTGTTCTCAAGGTCACCTCAGGTCCAAGGTGGCTCCTGGAGCTCCAGCCATCACATCCTACATCCACATTACAGGCAGAAGGGAGGAGGAATGGGCTAGGAAGGGCTACCCATTAAGGAGCTTTCCTGAAAGTCTCGCGTGATATTTCTGTTGGCAGGCAGAACTTAGTGACACGGCCAAATGTGGCCGCAAGGGAGGCTAGAAAATGTGGTTTTTCGAAGAAAAACAGTAGTTTTTCCAGGAACCACACTGCCCAGGGTTTTTTAAAAATCAAGGACAAAGTACAGAATAAATACTGGGAGGCAACTAAAAGTCTCTATTCATTGACTCATAAAGGGAAGGTGGGCAGGGATGAGGGAGGACCCTTGTATCAACCAGGGTCCAGGCAGGAAGGAGATGGCTGACTCCGCAGGGTCAGACAGAACAAAGCATTGGTGTGTGCAGGGTTCAGGAGTCATCCAGGGACCAGCAATGCTGGGTGAGGCGCCACTGCTGACGGGAACCCTGAGCAGCAAGGGGCGGAGGAAAGGGTGCGAGCGGGGCCCTGGGGAGGCCCCGCCAGGTGCTCCTGCCAGAGCACAAGCTGCCAGGGACAGCACTGTCTCCAGGTTCTCTTTTCTAGCTGCTTTCTTCAGCGGCTTCACCTCCTCAGCCCATCTACCCTTCTCCACGCTTCCCCTGGGGCTGCTGTCAACCCCATGACTTCATCTCTACCCTTACACTGCAGCTCTCTGAGAAACTGAATGCACGTCAGTCCCAATACGGCCGCTCCACGGGCACCCCACGTCAGCACGTGTCCAAACAAAGGCCCTGACAGCCCCACCCCCTCCTCCTTTCTCTCCACCAAAGGCACAGGCAACCGACCACCTCTCAAGTTAAGAATTTACCATATCGCTAATCATCAGTGAAATGCACATCAAAACTACAATGAGGTGTCACCTCACACCAGTCAGAATGGCCATCACTCAAAAGTCCACAAACGATAAATGCTGGAGAGGCTGCAGAGCAAAGAGAGCCCTCCCGCACTGCTGGTGGGGATGCAGTGCTGCAGCCACTGGGGAGGACAGCACGGAGGTTCCTTAAAAAACTAAAAATAAGTTGACACATTGTAACTGACTGTACTCCAATTTAAAAAAAAAGCTTTGTTCCTTAAAGATTTATGAAACGTAACTTTGACAAGTCCCAAATTGTAATTTAAATAATATAAAAATGTTTGAATTTCAAGGAAAATAAAAACTAAGAATAGAGTTACCATACAATTCACCAATCCCAGTCCTGAGCATCTATCTGGAGGGAACGCTAACTGGAAAAGACACCTGCACCCCAGTGTTCACAGCAGCACTATTTACAACAGCCAAGACATGGAAGCAACCTAAATGTCCATTGACGGATGACTATATAAAGAAGATGTGGTATATTTATATAACGGAATACTATTCAGCCATAAAAAAGAATAAAATAATGCCATATGCAGCAACATGGATGGACCTGGAGATACCATTCTAAGTGAAGTAAGTCAGAGAAAGACAAATATC